ATATATAAGATGGAAAACTGCTATTTTGTTCTTGTAAGGAGAGTAAACTTCTTAACTAATCCACACCAAGGACGTATTTCATAACCAGGTCGTTTTTCCAGCAGCCATGGCAGTACAGTTTCTGAACAGCAGGTGGCAGTGATGAGCTTTAATGATCCAAACCGCAGAAGAAGCGCAGCGCCGATATAAAAAGGAAGCGCCCGGTCTCCTCCTTCTCAGTCGGTCCGCATTGCAGGTTTGTTTCATTGTCTTCTGAAAGCAGCGCTAAAAGGTAATTATGTTAAGACGCATGTTCTGTAGATTTATAAGTGACTTTAAATTACAAACGCTATTGACAAACATTTCTTATGTTTAACATGTAAAAAGGTTTAATGAAGTGATATTTAAAAAAATCAAAACGGAAATTTTGTTTCGAAAAACGACCCGTGTACTTTGCATGCTGGTGGAAAACTAGGTCGCAGTATTTTTAATACGGTGTTGTGTATTATTTTTAGCATAATGTAACCGTTTTAAAAGAGCAGCATCGTGCAGATTAGCTAGCTACATGCTAAAGTGGGTCAGTGAAACAAAGAACACGAGCTGGATGCTACAAAATGGCGCCGGATAAAAAAAGTAGCAGTTGCGGGAAAAGATTGATTCGTCTTTGCAGCTGTGTGGTTAAGAAATTCACCTTTGGCAATATATGCAGTTAAATTTTTAGTATCATGCTGCTTGTTTTTTGTCTTAAATGTGGTGATGAATGTTTTATTATACCGCGAAAAATCTAGAGGCGGAACTGCGCAACGTGCGGGCGCCATTTTGTAACTGGCACGGTGACCTACTTATTACCGCTGCGTCATTCCGGATTTCTATTAACGCTTTAATTTTTTTATTTTTCCATTAATTCAGCTACAACTGAGAATGTCGGACGAAGGCAAACTGTTCATCGGAGGTCTGAGCTTTGAGACCACAGAGGATTCTCTGGCCGCTGCCTTTGGCAAATATGGAACTATTGAAAAAGGTAACTTGAAATACATTCTCACATGTTAATGCAGTATTTTTGTTTTGGAAACTAATTTTTTTTTTTATTCATTGCAGTTGATGTGATCAGAGACAAAGAAACTGGAAGATCGCGTGGGTTCGGCTTTGTGAAATACGACAACGTTGATGACGCAAAAGATGCATTGGATGCCATGAATGGAAAGGTAAGGTTTTATTCTTGATTTATTTCTAACTTCATTTAAATTCTATGCATCTTAAATGAATTTTGTGCATTTATTTATTCATTGTTATTTATTTTAGACCCTCGACGGCCGTGCAATCCGTGTCGATGAAGCAGGGAAAGGTGGACGTCCAAGGGGAGGAGGATTTGGATCCAGCCCAAGAGGAGGCAGATTCCAGAGCTCCAGGGGTGGAAGAGGTGGACGTGGTTTCTCTAGAGGTACACATTGGCATCAGCGATGATGCCAGTCCACACCCTCCATGAGAAGCAAACTAAAGCTGTGTTTCCATGTCCAGGTGGCTACAACAGCGACAGAGGGTATGGAGACAGAAGTTATGGTGACAGAAACTTTGGTGAAAGGAGTTTTGGTGGTGGATACAGAGCTGGGGGTTATTCCTCAGGTGGATACAGGGAGAGCAGGTTAGTTTTTAATGAGAGCGCAGTATCTATAATTTCAGTATGATTGTGGTGCAAACTTATATTTTCTCATCTGTAGGAGTCAGGGTGGTGGATACGGTGACCGCTCGGGATCATACCGTGACGGATATGACAGTTACGGTAAGCATTGAACATACAGGGTGTAGGATTAGATTGGGGCTGTTGCACTACATGAAACTGGATTGATTCTCTGTATTCACATTTTAGTGGAAAATTCTCAGCCAGGCACTTGATCCTTTTTTGTAGTTTACACAGCCCTAATTGATAACACAAAAGTGCCCCTCAGTTTTGTACCTGAGCTTAAGTCGATGCCTCTTACGGTTGCCAAAACCTTCACCTGTTCCGCACTAAGAGGCTGGCAGACACGATCTAAAGCAAATGCTGCTCATTTCTCAACTGACGGAGCCTCTTTAACAAAAACCAGAGGAGTTTTAGGGTTAGGTCTGGGTTGAGAGGGGATGTTATGAAACTCCAGTGTCTTTACCTGTGCCCACTTCTTATCCTCCAGCACACGAGTAAACGTCTCCCTGATTCAAGATCTTCACTTGGCTGGCTGTATTTGAAAGCTGCGCTCTTCAAGAAAAATGTCCACGTGTTTTTTTTGCTGACATTTAGTTATGTAGTTCTGTTGTAGTACCTTGGCATCAGAAGAAAATGTAGCAATGAATTTTTATCATTGTTCAACCATGTTACAAACTTAATTGGGCGCCCCAAAGCATAACATTGAGTCTTCTGTATTTGTTTTTTACTGTAAAATTCCACTCAAAGATAAAGCAGCTGTCCACATGACTTTGTTTTTTCCTTTTTATCAGCCACAGACCTTTTTTGTCCAGCACTTAAGAGGTTTGCTAAATTCCTTAGAGCTCTGATTCTTTTTACTGTAGGTCCCCATTTTCCTGTCTTAAACAGACCTACCTCCTGCAATTTTTCTTTTTAAACTCAGAAGATAGCTATTTACAGAACTTAAGGAGTTTTTAATTGCTAAATTCCTTACACGGAGAGAACCTTAGTTGATCAAAGACTCTTTTGTGTTCAATGTCCCAAGAGTGAACTGAACTACACTTCCGAAGTGGCCGGCTGTTCATGAAGTTGCAAAATGCAGCATGCTACAGTCTGTCAAGGTATCTTCTGTGCTCTGCTCAATCTCTGCAATTTAAATGTGCTGTAAAATGGACTAATCTTAAAGTGATCACAAAATGTAACTTCGTTCTTCAGAGTTAAATATAAATGGGAACAGTTTTGTACTTTGTGTTCTTTGTATTAAAGTTTTTTTTTCCTGTCAGTTGGCTTCATGGAGCCTATTAAACAAAATATGGAAAATGATCCTGATTGCGTTGCCTCTTAAAAATGACAGCATGGGAAAGTTAAGCTGGAGTCTTAATAAGTGAGAACAAGTGATTTTTAAAGCTATTGTCTCTATAAGACACTGAAGTTAGGTTTGCAAAGATAAGTGAATTTGGATTGACAGCTGAGCTGCATGTAAGTTTTAATTTAGTGTTAAATTATAGCTTAATGAGTTGTAAATTGATTAACATTCTAGTGACTTATTGCTGTATAGAGCTGAACTTCCAGTGAGGTTTGTGCTTTGAGTGGATAGGAAAACATGAGCCTGTGTCCTGTCAATGCTTCATTATGCTCAAGAACTCTGCTCCTTCAAAAATCTTCAGTCCTTGGAGAGTGAGGTGTTGCGTCTGCCAACAAGTGCTCAGATGAAAAGCTGCTCTTGCCTAAGACAAATGTGGAGAAAGTAGGCCAATGCACGCGAGGTAAAACTCKTTTTGTTGCTCATCCTTAACGCTCAAGTTCTGAATGTTTCCATGAATACTTCAAAGTTGTGTTAAGTCCTCTGCTTCAGATGTCTCCTGCAATTAAGCCATGGCCTCTTGATAAATGTCCATTTAGGGAGGCGGAAAGTCAGATTCCTTGGATTCACAAAATTTGCCTACAGTCGTGCTCAGTCCACTTGACCCTCTTCACTTCATTGCTCCTCCAGTTTCCTCCTGTAATTCCCCATTCCCTTTAATTTCTTACAATTAGGATGTTACACCACGTTTTGACTCACAATAAGTGTTGCATGCTGTTTATCCTCAAACAAATGTTGCCAGGTTTGATCCATTATGGTTTCTCTCTTTAGAGTGAGCTTTCTGCATCGAAGTCTGCTTGACGTTTTCTTCGGGTCATAGGAACCAGTCCAGACTCCTTGCAGATGTGCTCAGGTAAATGTTGTCCAATATGAAGTRGGACCTTTTTGGATTAGCATGTTGTTCATGTCTGTTCTGTTGTTTCAGGTCTCAGACCCAGTGTGTGCTGAAGCAGGTGGAGCTGTGGGGGAATTGGCCAGCTGAGATGAATATAAAGCTGTGGCTTTAATGTGAAATGTTGTCCATAGTTGGGTGTGACAACTTGACAGCAGTCATGGCGATTTCAAAGTTTTTTTATTTTTTTTATTACTTTAGAATTTAATACAATGTATTTTTGACAGTTTATTTTTTAAATAAATGATCAAATTAAGTCTTTGGGGTTTTTTTTTACACTCATGTAAAAACAGCTGAAAAAAATAAATTGATTAAATACCACAACAAAATTTCTGCAGGATTGACAAATTAATGCCAATTAGATTTAACCCATGGATGGATTGTTGAATATAAATATTTTCTGCATGTGATTTGGCATTTTTACTGTTGCACTTAAAGAGCCAGTTTGTAATTTAATACAAAAATAAAACCAAAGCAGTTATCCTTTCAATCTAGGGTCCTTGTGAAAGTGGAGCAGTTTCAAATTTCAGAACTCCAGGTCAAGTAAATCCAGTGAAACACTTGGCTTTAAAGCAGGAGCTAAAGTACAAATTTTCTTAGTGGGTAAATTGTTCAAAACCTGGGAGTACAAAGCATAACCAAGTACATTAACTTCTCTATTTAGATGTTTATCAAAAAGTACATGCTATAAAAAGCTGTGTAAATACTGTATCAGTATTTTTTGCCAAGTCAGCAGCTAAATGAGTACTGATTTTGTGCTACCCAGTTTAAGCCACTGAAAAACACTGCACCTCAGCACGCCACCAAATATATTAAATCTAATAAAAAGACAATACGGTAAAAGGTACAGAACAAGGATTTTAATATTGAACGTTTACAAGCTCGAGTGAGTGAAWGCAGTTCACATCGGAGGTGGTGGAACCTGTGACGGTGTTTCTCCAGATGGACTAGTATCTTAAGAAGCCAAACTTCTGGTGCATGAACTCTTTTTTTGGCCGAAGGTTGAATAGCTCATCTGTTATAGGGACAGCCCAGCGTTTTGTGTGGTAGACGCTTTCGCCGACCTGTGAGAATATGTGAGATGCTGTTTGAGAAAAACTTAAAGCCAAGTTTATGAAAACAAATGCAGGATGTTGAAAAAGCACTGTTTTACAATGTTTCTTTTTCATTCATAGACATGTACTCATTCCGACTTATCTGATTGAAGATAGGACAGTGTAATACATAAAATGATTTCTATATAAACCCTATAAACAGTTTACTCAAGTTGCAAACATCTTTAGTAAAAAGGGTCATTTTGAATTTCATGGCAGCAACATCAAAGTTGTGACGGTTTTAAATAGTAAATAAGCACTGCACTAAAAACATCTGACTGTGAACTCATAGGCCAAAGCTCTATCATGCTCCTCTCTGGGCCCAAGCTCCTTTAAAAGTGACTGAGACTAAGTGGGAAACTATTCTGTGGTCAGATACAGTTAAGGTTTGCTTTGGAAATCACGGTTTCATCCATGCAAAAGAGGAGAAAGATCATCTGCTCACACTTCAGAAGCCTGCCTCTCTGATGGTYTGGACATGGTTGCACATAGCAGCTCACGCATTTGGAAAGGCACCATCAAAGCAGAGAAATGCAAACATGTTTTAAATCAAGAATGGAACAAAATTTGCTTCCAAAACCTCCAGCAGCTGGTCTCTTCACGTCTTGGACATTTACAGACCGTTAGAAGATGCTTCACTGAGGGAAATAAAACCATGTCCCAATTTTTTTTGATGTGTGTTGCTGTCAAAACTCAAAACAACCCTTTTATTTTATAAAATTAGTACATTATTATGGTCCATTATGAATAAAATTTGGGTTATTTTATTCATAATGGAACATGCCCCCCACCTCCCCAAGTTTTATTGTCTTATCCCCCCCCCAAAAAAAGGGGGTGTAATTAAGTAAGTAAATTTAGTACATTTTCATTGAACTTTTGTTTTTTCCTGAAACAATGAATCAGTGAAACTTCATTAAATTTTTGGTTCTCTCTTCCTAAATATTTGAGGATTTGTTCAAAGTAAATAATATCTAACAAAAAAAGTAATATTCTTTACCTTCCAGCCTGGAACGTCTTTCATAATAATCGCCTCCTCGTCCAAGTTTTCTCTCATCAACCTTAAAATACTGACAAGTAGGAAACACAAAACGTTACACAGTCTGAATAGTAACTTTGTGACTACATTTGATTCAGCAAAGAAACAACATTCATTCATTTTCACCTTCGGTCCTTCTCTGCCTGCATCAGAGGCATCAGCGCTATCCTCGCCTCCAAGTCCTCAATCGTGCAGCGCCTGTGACAAAAAAGCAACATTCATTGTGACCACACTTCCACAGGCTAAACAAACAAAAAATAATAAGACAGATCGTCTTACCTCCTCTCCCTGTTCCACTTAATCATCCGCCAGGTGCCAAATATCACAACGCCGAATCCAATCGCAAACATACTATATCCTGGCAGTTAAAGAAAATGTAATCAGACAATTTTGCCCTCCTGTTATGTATGGTTGGGTTTTGAATTACATTTGAAAACATTCACACACCATTTTCAGCAATACAATTAATGACGAGAATCATACTCGATTGATATTTAAATTTTATCTCTGGATCAGAGATTACAAGTATTTATCTTTAAAAGTGGCTTTCATTTATTTCTGCATAAAAGTAATGTTAACATTTTTGCTTCGTCATTGTAGGTTTTTCATTTCTCATTTATTCATTTCATTAAAACAAAACAAAAAAATTACATACATTTTATTGTATATAAATTTGTATAAATTTATACATATTTTTATACTATATATATTTTTCTTACAAAAAATATATAAAAAAGAAAAATTAAAAAACAATATATGTGTATCAAAATCGCAAATGAAATGAAATACCTTTTTTTTGTATGCTCTTTAGATTTACCTGTATTTAGGTCAGGTTTGCCTAAATTTGAACAGTATCTAACACAGGGTTTGGCAATCCTGGTCCTCGAGGGCAGCAGCAGTGCATGTTTTACCCTTTTCTATGATCCATCTATGATGACTGGAACAAGTGTGGTGAAGCAGGGAAAAAAGTAAAACATGCAGAGCTGTGGCCCTCGAGGACCAGTATTACCTACCCCTAATCTAACACCTGCCTGTGCATTTCTTTTTGGGGTGCATGAATTGGAATATATATAT